TCTTTTTTTTTTTTTTTGAGACTTTTTGTATTTTTAGCTATTAATTGAGCAACTCTGGCTGGAGTTTCTGTTCTGCTGTTAAGCCTTTTAGCTGAAGACGCAGAAATCATTACTTTTGAAATCGCCGTTTGTCACAGCTGATTCATGAGCCCTGTGCTGGCAGCGTGCGGGTCCTGCCTTGGGACCCCCCTGCAAAGTCATTTGGACTGAATTCAGTGAGCGCTAAGGGGAGCACCCAGGTCCTTCTTCGTTAGTCTTGCTTGAGAATACTGAAGCCATTTTTCAATACTGATTTATTTTAAAAAAAGAAAAAAAGTCTTAATCTCTGACTTTCAAGCTTCGTGATGTGACCGGGATACATACATATTTTTAAAGCTTAAGAAAAGAAAGCCCACTCTCTCCATCCCTCCCCTGCAGCTGCTGATGTAGCACTGGCCTGAAGGGCAGGAACTGCTTCCCAGAGCCCAGCAGCAGCAGTACAGGCTCGAGGGCCTCTTCCGGGCTTCTACCTGTATGTGTTGATAAATTCACTTGTAAGAGCTTGTTCAAACTGTTTGTATATGCAACCTTCTCAACTTGTAATGCTTTTCAATGAAAATAAATTGTTGGTACGCAGTTAAAGTGGATTTCTGTGGGAGGAAAACAGCCTGGGGCTGCCTTTACAGGGAGCATGTAATGCAGGGAGAGGTTGCTTTGAAGTCAACATGTTCTGATCACTGTTCCTATGGAAGTTAGTTACATGTAAAAGTCTTTCTCTGTTTAATTTATTTTTAAAAAATACACACACGTGGAGAAAAAAAATCTTTATTAATTTGTTTGTATAAAGAGTAACAAAGTGCTTACTGATTTGAATCGGGTTCATAAGTGACATACAGAAAAACATAATACTGTAAAAATAAATCTGACCTTGTTGAAGCTCGTAATTACAATTTTATATATATATATAGATAGAGATATAGTTGAAGACAACTTTCTGTTATTGCCAGAACTGAGTAGCTTCTTGAAGCATTTTCAAAATCCAGGTGGGGTGGGACAACACAGTTGCCCAAGTTCAAGGACATGGGTCAGCAAAAGGTTTCCAGTTAAACCACTGTTTCTCAAAGCCCCATGGGTTTACAAAACCAAAATACAGAGCCCTCACTTGGGTTAAATGCTGAATCTGGTCCTGACAGTAAAACCCACATGGTCCCAGTCTGGCCCCACCGGTTTCCCTTTGGTTAACTGAATCTGAATCCTGTGCCAGTGCAGGGGGTGAGTCGGTAAGTCAAAGGGGAATGAACGGCTTTACAGCAGGGCTAAAATGGATCAAGGTGCTGGCCAGTGAGATTGCTGACCACAGCAACGAGCACGGCCTGCGCCCCTGGCAACAACGAGCCCGTCTGGTGTGTTCGAGCGGTTCGACACTGCCCTGCTCGCTCAGGCCTCTCTCTCTTTTAGGTCATTATTCTGTAAGGTGAGTGATCCCACGCGCACCTCCCTGTGCCGCAGGGCACCTGCAGCACAAGCCAGCGTTGCGTTTGCACCTGTAACAGCCGTGGAAGCGGCGGCGGGTACAAACGTGTACTGGGGGAGGGGAGGGCTGAGGTCAGAAAAGCAAATCGATTTATCCAGAACCTGGGTTTCTCACTGAAATGTGTAACTACACAGGCCGAGCCATGCAGTCAGGTGGTTGAACACGACGGTCAAGCAATTTTTAATAAAATAAAAACTCAGGACTGGAGCCTAGTTGTTGAGATGAGCTGAGGATTTTTGTCTTCTCTGGATTTTTTTTGTTACTAAAATCAGCCAAACCTTTTTTAAAACCCCAGGTTTTTTAAACTAGTTTAGTTATTCAAGGCCTAAGGGGGCAGAGCAGCCTTGTTTTAATGCTGCAGCTTGCTCTGACAACTGCAGCACTTTTTGACACTGCTCTTCAGTCCGCATTCCTCGGGGCAGCTCCAGTTGTGGCAGGACCATAATGAGCGAGAGATACAACTGCCTTGCAACAACAACAGCAAAAGGAGTTGAAGCGATTGTTTCTGCCATACCTTTTAATGAATTTGATCCAACTGTTGACTAAAATTAAAAAGGAACACTGTTGGAAAAAGAATCCTTTAAACACGTTAGCACAGTCAGAGTACAAATTACAGTAGTTAAAAAAAAATGAAAGGTCTGGGGCATCTGTATTTTGACACACATTTGAAGTACTGACAGTATAAAAAAAAATAATTACATTTTACTCATAATTGCTTCAAATCCTTGAATCAGATTGTGAAAGGTTGTCCGTTCATCATGCTTGAATATCCAGCATTTCCTCATCAGCTGGTCCACCTAACAACAAAAAAAGAGGAAATTTTTATAAGGACGTGTGAAAGAGTTAATTGTTTTTTCCAGTAAATGCAACTGAGCAGATTCTCACTGCTGTGAAATGCAGAACAGTGACAGAAACATGCATGTCTGTCTGGGCTGCTGCTCACACAGGCGCTCTGCTTTTCAAAAACCAGAACGATTCTGAATGAACTTTACAGGGATCCAGATGCGATACTGAAACACATTCTTAACCCCGCTGAAGGGGTGTCACGAACTTGGGAGCCTCAGTGTTCAAAATCCATTAAAAAAATAATGCTTAAAAAACCCTGGAAATGCCTTTTTAATACCAAACCTGCAGGCTTTCCTACCACGAGTAGCCAGGCCTGTTCAACCACAAACACGTGGCGCTTTTGCTGCTACTGCCCTGCCAAAGGAAGGGCACCCCGATCGATCGGAGGGTGGTGGGTGCATCCATTACCTCCTCCGGGCAGTTGGGCGGACGTGGCAAACGCTTTTCTTCTTGCAAGACGCGCACCAGCCGCGCCACCGTCATCTGTCCCTGCGTGGGGCCGATCATTTTCAAGAACTCCTGTGAAGAGAGCAGGAGTCAGCTGCGCCTCCTCTTGCCCTGCACCAACCCAGGCCTTTCAGTTTGACATTAAGGTGACATTTGAATCTCAAAATGAAGATGAACAGCAGATGCTTATCGTACAGATAGTGTGCACCGTACGCTCACATTAGAAAGCATACTTGTAACTACGGTTTCCTCACCAAGACATGCAGTCACCACAATTTATCTCTGTACAGGGTCTTTCACTGAAGACAACCATGAGGGTTGTTTTCGTAAGATAGAGAGATTCATTCTGCTTCTCGTTTCCAAAAATAACGATTATTTTTTAAAAAAATATCTGCTTGAAGCGGCTGTAGCAGCAACTTCTTTCACAACCACTTACTGCCATGGGACTGGACTCTGAATCACAGTAGGTGAGCAGTTCATACAGCGTCACCCCGAACGACCAGACATCGGAGGCGATGTAAAATTTACTCTGAAGCAAGCACTCTGGAGCATACCTGTGGGCACAACACAGCAGCGTTACACGTCCCCCAGAGCCGCAGCTGTACTCATACACGCACAGCCCACACGCATCTGAAGCAAACACACATGTTCTGCACTCGTTGAGCCCTTGTACATCAGTTAATGCGCCCACAGGGCCTGGGGCGGCACAGAAGCGCTTGATAAGGTACAACTGTTACACAGCAAGTCACCATGAAACTAAAGGAGACCAAACCCAAAAACAAAATCATGGGAAAATGGGTTATTAAGCACAGGAAGAAATAAATGGCACAAGAGTAGATAATCTACCAGGTGCCTTTTTCTTGCTCTGACTTTGTATCTTTATTTAGGCCTCTTAGCAGAACAGGAGAAATCTTCA